TGTTGCCTTGGGACAGGGAGCCCTGGCCCACGACCAAAAGAGGGAGAGCCATCCTATGGGCTATCGCTGCAGTTGGTTTGGTCGTGGTCCTGGGAATTTTAACATGGGAAGTGTTAGAAAACACACAGCTAAGAGACAGGGCCAGACTTGTAACACAATCCAGTCTTTGGTCCAATAAGACTGACAGAAATAAAAGATCCATAGGAGAAGGCAGCGTTAGAGACTCTCTACCTACGGTTGTGACAGTAAAATGCCCGGTGGGTGCGACAATTACAGCCCACATACCAATGGCAACAATCTTTCCATTATCCTTTCGACCTGACTTCACACTCTACCTGTGTTACACACCGTCAACATGTAAATATGAGAGACATGGAAAAAGCTTTAGAGCATCGGTGGACTGCACCTGTGATGCTTGGGAGTATGTTATATCCAATACAGGTCCTGATTGGGGTTATAATAATGAACACAGATTGAAGGGACGAGTGATTCTGACTACAGACCACTCACAAACAACGGTGCTAGTCACTGTGAAAAATTGTGGGATTGATGTGAATGGGACTTACGTTATTGGACATTATCCAGGAGACATTAGACAATGGATTTCAATTGCCCTACCCGAGGACAAGGAGCTAGACAAGGAGGCCATAAATAGTGAAGTATGGCAAGACAAACAAAACGTACAGGTGACTGCTGACTGGACTGTTTCTGAATTGTTAAAACAAGCAACTGGATATGGGGATAGAAACGCTTGGTTGTGGACAGTGGAGCACATGTCAGCGGCTGCTGGCTTTGACGATTGTGTTGTGTGTTCTACTGCACGTCCCACTTTGTATACAGCCCCGGCCCCACTTTTCCCAGAAGATGTAGATGGTTATAATTGTATGATAAAGTTGTTTTGGCAAGAAAAGGACCTGACTGAGGAGACAAAGACAGTCCGTAGCAACTGTTCAATGTTTGAAGTATTGTTTCCAGAATTGGATTCAGAAATTCAGCCCCCTATGTTTTCCCACAGGAAAAGCAATTACACCTGTTTCCACTCACTCAATGGAGGGACGAGGCCGCGTCTCCAGTGGGGGTTCCTTCCAGCAGACTGGTGTGTCAACAACGTCACCCTGCCCAGTCCGGTCCCCATGACCCGGACCAGAGGTGATTTGTATTGGTTGTGTGGAGATTTAAAACTTAGACATAGACTAATAAAAAATTTTACAGGCAGTTGTGCAATGGTGCGATTAATGATGCCCATTTCCATAATTGGCCATAAGCCATCCCTAGACAGTCCCCACCCACAGCATAGATTTAAAAGGGCAATCCCATTCCTAGATACTGGGAAAGATAATCCAACTTACATGGACTCTATAGGTGTTCCACGTGGAGTCCCTCATGAATTCAAACTGGTAGATCAAGTTGCAACAGGTTTCGAAAATCTTCCAATAATTTCCGCTATTTTCCCTATCACGCCAAACAAAAATGTAGATAGAATTAATTTCATTTGGTATACTATGCTTAGGCTTGCCAATCACACCAGGGACGCAATAGAGGGATTGGCGGAGTAGCTGGGGGCCACCTCTCTGGTAGCATTTCAAAACAGAGTGGCTCTAGACATGCTCTTAGCAGAGAGAGGTGGGGTCTGCAGTTTATTTGGTACAGAATGTTGTGTATACATTCCAAATAACACACATCCAGATGGATCAGTTTCCAGGGCTCTGGCTGGTCTCAAAATGCTGTCAGAGCAAATGCATGACGTTTCTGGAGTCCCGGAGAACCCACTGGAGGCGTGGCTGGACAGCATCTTGGGGAAGTGGAAGCATGTAATTTTGTCTGTTATCACAAGCCTTGCGGCCATCTTTGCAATAATAATGGTTGTAGGATGCTGCTGTATACCTTGTATACGTTCTCTTTGTGTTAAAGCTATAGACACCGCTGTTAACCCTGGACTGAGAGGTCAAATGCTTGCATTGGTTGAGGATTCCCCCGTCCCGTCGCCTGAGGAAGGTTATTGAAATGTGTGGCCTTTTTTAATAGCGGCCAAAAGAGGGGACTGTTGTATTAAATATAGGCTAAAAGGCGATGTGAATTAGATTGACCTGAAATTGAACTCTGTCTGTCTCCAAGCAAAAAGAAAGACCTTGTATTGCCCTACTCCCCTTGTCCCATTTTGTCCAAAGTGCATGGGTGAGTTAATGATAGTTAATCTGGGGGGATTCTGCTAATCCTTTCAAGTTGTGAAAGAAGGAGATGGAGTCCAGAATCTGGAGGAGAAGCCTTGAGATCCCTCTGCCTTATCTCAAAGGAACTAATAAATTTATAGAATTAGGGAGGGGTAGTGCGTGAATGATTTCTGTTCAGGTTTGGCGAGACGGAGGAAAAGGCCGGACCTTGGACCAGACATCTGCCTGATACGACACGCCCCCTTCTTCATGCACATTTACTTATAATAACCTCATGCTTGTGTTAGTCTAGACCGGACCAGGGACAGGAGTGTGATTTGCGTGGAGCGCCCACCAAAATCATACTTTTATATTTTATATAGAGAATAAGGGATAGTTACTTTTGGTCCGAACAGCTGTTTTAGATTCTTTTTGTATTAGGGAAATAAACCTTTTTGAATTTAACTTCCTGAATCATGGTCATCTTTATAAGGGATTTTGAACACGTCATTTTTTAATATAATAAACAAGAGAATTATACTTTTCTGAAACTATTGAAGGCTGCAGCAACAATCTGCGTGTTCTATTTTCAACAATCAATAGATTAACGAACCCCCCTGTTGAGTTGCCATTAGAACACTACTCCAAATCCAGGTGTAATGAGTTTGCACAGTTCTTCAGAGACAAGGTTCAGGGTATCAGAAATACCATCACCTCTACAACACAAGTAACAATGCAACATCCAGTGAGGCTTTGTGAGCTAGCTCAATTTGCACCTGTCAATGATGAAACTGTTAAAAAGATAATCACAGGTCTTAGTTCCTCTACCTGCAGTCTGGATGTACTACCTCCTAGATTTCTGAAGTCTGTTATGTGTAGTCTATTACCCTCATTGACACAAATAGTAAACATGTCTTTTTTATCTGGAACATTTCCAATGGCCCTGAAAAAGGCAGTCATTAGGCCCCTCCTAAAAAAGAGCAGTTTGGATGCTGCGGTACTTGAAAATTACCGTCCCATCTCAAATCTGCCTTTCATGGGAAAAATTCTTGAAAAAGTTGCCTACCAACAACTTACTGAATTTTTAATATCTAATGACTCATTTGACATGTTTCAGTCTGGCTTTAGACCACACCACAGTACTGAGACCGCTCTAGTCAAGGTAACAAATGATATTCGGCTTAACACTGATGCAGGAAAAGTCTCTGTTTTAGTCATGTTAGATCTGAGTGCCGCTTTCGACACCGTTGACCATGAGATTCTCATGCAGAGACTGGAGGACTGGGTTTGTGTTGCTGGTACCGCCCTAAGCTGGTTTAGGTCCTATCTAGAAGAAAGGAAGTACTGTGTGGAGATTGGAAACTATGTCTCAGATAATATGGCCCTGACCTGCGGAGTGCCACAGGGGTCGATTCTGGGACCTCTCCTGTTCAATATTTACATGCTGCCATTAGGTCAGTTAATTCAAAGTATGAAAGTGTCCTACCACAATTACGCTGATGACACTCAGATCTATGTCTCACTGACTGCAGGAGAGCATGGGCCGGTGGACTCACTCCTTCGCTGTATCCAGCGGATCAGTGAGTGGATGCAATGCAATTTTCTCCAGCTAAATGCGGACAAAACCGAAATGATTGTCTTTGGTCCCGAGAAACAAAGAGAGACCGTCATTTGTCACCTTCAGTCTCTCTCCCTAAGGCCCTTAAATAAGGTCAGAAATCTGGGAGTAATAATGGACTCTGACTTAAACTTCAATAGCCACATTGGATCGGTAACATCAGCAGCTTTTTATCATCTGAAAAATATTGCCAAAATTAAAAATATTGTGTCCAGGGCAGACTTGGAGATTCTTATCCATTCTTTTGTTTCCAGTAGGCTGGATTACTGCAATGGCCTGCTCACAGGTATCTCCAAACATGCAGTAAGACAGTTGCAGTATATTCAAAATGCTGCAGCCCGAGTCCTGACTAGAACCAGGAAGTACGACCACATTAGTCCGGTCCTCAGGTCTCTGCACTGGCTTCCCGTGGCCCAGAGGATAGACTTTAAAGCAGCTCTCCTGGTGTACAAGTCTCTCCATGGCCTTGCACCAAAGTACATCCATGATATGCTAGTCCCATATGAACCAGCCCGGACTCTGAGGAGCGCAGGGACGGGACTCCTGTTAGTGCCCAGAGTCAGGACTAGACAGGGGGAGGCTGCTTTTCAGATTTATGCAGCTGGAGTCTGGAACGGTCTTCCTGAGGATGTGAGACTGGCTGCCTCTCTGTCAATGTTCAAATCCATGTTAAAGACTTTTCTTTTTTCCCGTGCATACAACTAGAGAATTTTATCTTTTTAACACACCTTGTTATTTATTGTTGTAACTTTTTGTGTTTTTAACTATTTTATTGTTTTTAATTACTTGTGTGATTTTTATGTTTTTAAATTACTTATGTGATTTTAATGCTTTTTAATTACATATGTGTTTTTAATTGTATTTTAATGGTGATGATTTGTGCATTGTGTGGTGTGGACTGTGAGGCGCTTTGTGTTGCCCTGTGCAGGAAAAGCGCCCTATAAATAAAGATTGATTGATTGATTGATTGATTATGATTGGTCATTGGTGTTAGCATTGGTGTTAGCATTGGTGTTAGCATTGGCGTTAGCATTGGTCATTGCTGTTAGCAGACACAGACAGACACAGAAACAGACAGACACAGAAACAGACACACACACAGACACAGACACACACACACACACAGAAACAGACACACACACAGACACAGACACACACACACACACAGAAACAGACACACACACACACACACACACACACACACAGACCCAGACCCAGACCCAAACACAGACCTGTACCACAGTCAGCAGCAGGCAGCCCAGCAGGGTGGGCCCCCAGCCGGTCCCCCACAGTCTCAGCAGGAGCCAGGCCCCGGTCTCCAGCAGCAGGAGGTGGGTCAAATGCAGGAAGAAGAACCAGGGACAGGCCTCGAACATACCCTCTCTCTGCACCTCAGAGAGCAGCGCCCGGAAGTCTGCGGCCACTGCCTCCTGCCGACCACATTCAATTACATTATCTTTATTTACAAAACTTCACGATCACACAAGTCATACATGTTTGTATTACCAGGTGAGGAACAAGAAGTCACTGGGACTAGGAAACTGCTTTGACTCTTGGTGCAAACAAGTTGAAAAGTACGAAAAAATAGAATAAGGTGTGCATGAAATTAAAATCTACTCTCTCTGGTCTCTCTCTAGTCTCTCTCTGGTCTCCCTCTGGTCTCTCTCTGGTCTCCCTCTGGTCTCTCTCTGGTCTCTCTCTGGTCTCTCTCTGGTCTCTCTCTGGTCTCTCTCTGGTCTCTCTCTGGTCTCTCTCTGGTCTCTCACTGGCCTCCCTCTGGTCTCTCTCTGGTCTCCCTCTGGTCTCCCTCTGGTCTCTCTCTGGTCTCCCTCTGGTCTCTCTCTGGTCTCTCTCTGGTCTCTCTCTGGTCTCTCTCTCTGGTCTCTCTCTGGTCTCTCTCTGGTCTCTCTCTGGTCTCTCACTGGCCTCCCTCTGGTCTCTCTCTGGTCTCCCTCTGGTCTCTCTCTGGTCTCTCTCTGGTCTCTCTCTGGTCTCTCACTGGCCTCTCTCTGGTCTCTCTCTGGTTTCTCTCTGGTCTCTCTCTGGTCTCTCTCTGGTCTCTCTCTGGTCTCTTTCTGGCCTCTCTCTGGTCTCTCTCTGGTCTCTCTCTGGTCTCTCTCTGGTCTCTCTCTGTGGTCTCTCTCTGTGGTCTCTCTCTGGTCTCTCTCTGTGGTCTCTCTCTGGTCTCCCTCTGGTCTCTCTCTGTGGTCTCTCTCTGGTCTCCCTCTGGTCTCTCTCTGTGGTCTCTCTCTGGTCTCTCTCTGGTCTCTCTCTGGTCTCTCTCTGTGGTCTCTCTCTGGTCTCCCTCTTACCTAACCCCTATTACAACTATGTCCAAAGATGACAGAGTTTCTCACATACAAAACTTAAACTTCAGGGTTTCTCACATTCTTGTTGTTGTCCTGACGGGGCTCGTGCTCAGACAGTTCTCCGATCAGCAGCGGCTTCAGAAACTTCTGGACCAACTTCAGATCACGATGAAACGCTGTGAACGCTTCCTACAGAGACACAAAGACAGATCAGAACACACTCTCTCTCTGGTCTCTCTCTGGTCTCTCTCTAGTCTCTCTCTCTCTGGTCTCTCTCTGGTCTCTCTCTAGTCTCTCTCTCTCTGGTCTCTCTCTCTTTTCTCTCTCTGGTCTCTCTCCGGTCTCTCTCTGGTCTCTCTCTGGTCTCTCTCTGGTCTCTCTCTGGTCTCTCTCTGGTCTCTCTCTCTGGTCTCTCTCTGGTCTCTCTCTGGTCTCACTCTGGTCTCTCTCTGGTCCCCCTCTGCTCTCTTTATCTGCTCTCTCTCTCTGGTCTCTCTCTCTGGTCACTCGCTCTCTGGTCTCTCTCTCTGGTCTCTCTCTCTGGCCTCTCTCTGGTCTCTCTCTGGTCCCTCTCTCTGGTCTCTCTCTGGTCTCTCTCTGGTCTCTCTCTCTGGTCTCTCTCTGGTCTCTCTCTGGTCTCACTCTGGTCTCTCTCTGGTCCCCCTCTGCTCTCTTTATCTGCTCTCTCTCTCTGGTCTCTCGCTGGTCTCTCTCTGGTCTCTCTCTGGTCTCTCTCTCTGGTCTCTATGGTCTCTCTCTCTGGTCTCTATGGTCTCTTTCTGGTCTCTCTCTGGTCTCTCTCTCTGGTCTCTCTCTGGTCTCTCTCTCTGGTCTCTATGGTCTCTCTCTCTGGTCTCTATGGTCTCTCTCTGGTCTCTCTCTGCTCTCTCTCTGGTCTCTCTCTGGTCTCTCTCTGGTCTCTCTCTGGTCTCTCTCTGGTCTCTCTCTGGTCTCTCTCTGGTCTCTCTCTGGTCTCTCTCTGGTCTCTCTCTCTGGTCTCTCTCTGGTCTCTCTCTGGTCTCACTCTGGTCTCACTCTGGTCTCTCTCTGGTCTCTCTCTGGTCTCTCTCTGGTCTCTCTCTCTGGTCTCTCTCTGTTCTCTCTCTGTTCTCTCTCTGTTCTCTCTCTGTTCTCTCTCTCTGGTCTCAGCTGGTCTCTCTCTGGTCTCTCTCTGGTCTCTCTCTGGTCTCTCTCTCTCTGCTCTCTCTCTCTGTGGGTCTCTCTCACCGTGGCGTCCTCTCCTGCGTAGTGCTGTATCAGTCTGAGTCCTCCTGGGTGCCTGTTGACCCAGTGACTGACGTTGTAGACCTTTCTGTTGATGACGATCCACTGGTCGCTCCTGTGTCTGTGTCTCTGCACCTCCTCCCAGGTGTAGACCGGGGGCCTCCGAGGGCCCGACAGCTCTCCTCTCCCCATTTCGCTCTCTCTCTCTCTCTCTCTACTTCTGCAAACAACAACAAAATATTTAAGTTATTTCCCAGACAGAGGTGTTGCGCCGTCTGACCTGTGTGAGAGGAGAAACCAGAGGAGGAAACCAGAGGAGAAACCAGAGGGGAAACCCGAGGAGAGACCAGAGGAGAGACCAGAAGAGAAACCCGAGGAGGAACCAGAGGAGGAACCAGCAGATCACAAATAATTCATGAAGATAAGAAAAACCTTTTGTTCCGAAACTTCAGTCAAGAAGTGAGCACGAGAGAACCAACAACCACATCAGGGGTTTGTCAAAGAGAAGAGCAAAGAAAGGATCAAAAAAGTGTCCGGTGTCCCTCCCTGTTTAAATCACATGGTACATGACCAGAGAGAGACCAGAGAGAGACCAGCTGAGACCAGAGAGAGAGAGACCAGAGAGAGACCAGCTGAGACCAGAGAGAGAGAGACCAGAGAGAGAGAACAGAGAGAGAGCAGAGAGAGACCAGAGAGAGACCAGCTGAGACCAGAGAGAGAGACCAGAGAGAGAGACCAGAGAGAGAGAGACCAGAGAGAGACCAGCTGTGACCAGAGAGAGAGCAGAGAGAGAGAGACCAGAGAGAGACCAGCTGTGACCAGAGAGAGAGCAGAGAGAGACCAGAGAGAGAGAGAGACCAGAGCGAGACCAGCTGAGACCAGAGAGAGCGAGACCAGAGAGAGACCAGAGAGAGAGAGACCAGAGAGAGACCAGCTGTGACCAGAGAGAGAGAGAGCAGAGAGAGAGAACAGAGAGAGACCAGAGAGAGACCAGCTGAGACCAAAGAGAGAGACTATAGTGAGACCAGAGACCAGAGAGAGACCAAAGAGAGAGATCATAGAGAGACCAGAGAGAGAAAACAGAGAGGCTAGAGAGAGACCAGAGAGAGACCAGAGAGAGACCAGAGAGAGACCAGAGAGAAACCAGAGACAGTAGTTTTTTCTATTCATCTCAAGGCAGACTCACGTCCCGCGGCCCACTGGTTGAACAACACTGATCTAAATGACCAAATGCGACCAAAACACACGCACAGAGACGCGCTGCAGGTGGAACAGCCGCGGACGCCCTCCCCCCGCACAGACCACAGGCGGCTACAGACGGCTTTACTCACAGCGCGGCTCCTCTCGGCTCCTGCTCGGTTCCATCTCAGAATCTCAGATCATGGACACAGGAAACTCTGCTTTTTTCTAATTTGTCCACGGAATCATACGGGACGGACGCGGCGTGATCATTCGAGGTTTTTGGGCCAATGAGAAAAGAGTTTGCACATGGACAGGCAGTTTTGGAACAGGACCAGATAAAGACCCATCTCGGTCCTGGGCGTGAGGCGCAGAGAGAGGAGCGTGTGCGAAGTGTGGATCTAGTGAAAGACAGAGACACAGCTCTGGGGTTTAGAGTCTGTCTGTCTGTCTCTCTCTCTCTTTACAGCTCGCATCTCTCGCCTCCTGCCGCTCACTACCTTCTGCTGCCGCCCCCTGCCGCCTCCTGCCGCTCCCTGCTGCCTCTTGCCGCCTGCGAGTCCTCCTGCCGCCTCTTGCCGCCTGCGAGTCCTCCTGCCGCTCCCTGCCGCCTCCTGCCGCTTCCTGCCGCTCCCTGCCGCCTCCTGCCGCTCCCTGCCACCTCCTCCCGCTCATTACCGCCTCCTGCCGCTCCCTGCCGCCTCCTTCTCTCCTTGTCTGTGATCTCCCCGTAACTAAACCCACAGATATTAAACCTGAGCAGGCTGCGTCCAAACTCCGCGTCTGAATCCTGTTTGACGATTTAAGATGTTTTTTCTAATGGCTGGTTTCGTGTTCAGGCTGTTCTACCAGTTTTATAATCATAGAGTTATTTTAATGAAGGGAGAGAGAGAGAGATTTGAACATTGTCTGAAACGCTGCCTCCTCATGTTTAGTCCTGACTTTGAGACCAGCAGGAGGCCAGTCCCTGTACTCCTAGACTCCCAGCAGGAGGCCAGTCCCTGTACTCCTAGACTCCCAGCAGGAGGCCAGTCCCAGTGCTCCTAGAGTCCCAGCAGGAGGCCTGTCCCTGTGCTCCTAGACTCCCAGCAGGAGGCCAGTCCCTGTACTCCTAGAGTCCCAGCAGGAGGCCAGTCCCTGTGCTCCTAGAGTCCCAGCAGGAGGCCAGTCCCTGTGCTCCTAGAGTCCCAGCAGGAGGCCTGTCCCTGTGCTCCTGTGTTGGTTCATAAAGCTCTTACATGTCACAGATGTGTTTTATCCATAAAAGGTCCACATTTAGTATAAAAGATTTACCTTGTGTCTGTGATTAATGTTTTGCTTCTGCCAATCCTTTTGGGTTATTTATCAAATTTTTTGCACGCCACAGTATGCCTCCACATCAGAGAACAGCAAAGTGATCACGGGGACTCACGCTCGAAAACAACCAAACCAGGATCAAACCAGGATCAAACCAGGATCAAACCAGGGCTGAGGACGGGGTCAGTGCTTGTAAACATATGTCTTCATCATGGATCTATAATAATATGTCTTCACCCTGAGTTTCTTGTGCACAAACCCGGACAAGTTCAGACTTCTCAATTCCACACAAATGAATTGAGTTTTGCCCTGAGGCAAAAAATGAATTAAGTAGAGTAAACTTAAAAAGTAAAATGAAACACAAATTACTATATGGAGTCATAGCCAGTTGATGTGTTTAAGTTTTCCAATTTTAGAACTAATATGTTTATGTTCAGTTAACTTAACTTGTTAGGGGAAGTACTAATATAAAACTTTATTATTTTAGAAGTGTCAATATTAGAAAACTCAAATGTTTGTGTAGCACTACTTTGATCCTCATATATTTAATTAAAACTAACTTAAAATGTCAAGACAAACACACTCAATACCTCGATATCAACAAGAACATGCTAATGACCAGAAAAGGCAGTTTTTAAAAAACCCAGAATCCGTTCATGCAGTTATGGTTCTCCAAGTGATGTGTGTAAGTCAGTCCAAACAGGAGACACTGCCAAAGGAAGACTGCAGAATCCAGAAGGATGCCTTCTTGCTCTGGACTTGAATTTTCACCATTGGTTATGATTTCTATGTGGATGTGGGTCCATCAGCAGCATTCTGCAGAAGGGGAAACAAGAAGAAACAGTGAGTAACCCGTTTGTGGAGAGTAACGCAAGTACAACAATCCAAGTATTGTATAGTACAATATTTTAGACTTAAAAAAGGTTTATAGGAGGATTATCTTCTTCCGGGTGGATCATCGAGACTATTGGTCCTCCCAATTGTCAATCATTCTGGTGTTTGTGCTCGTCAAATGAGACCAGAGAGTTTTGTTCAAAAGTGGAGAGGGCGGTTCTTTCCTATAATCTTTCCCAGGAGCACATTCACACGTGTGAAAACGCCAAAGTGTTTTGAGTTGTATCTGTTTATTTATGTCTTAGGATTTGGAAAACACATCAAGCAGTAAAATAAAAAATAAAATTCCAACATTCAAACTTAGCTAAGATAAGCACCAGAGTTAGCTTAGCTTAGCTTAGCCTAGCCTAGGCTTTAATATTCTTTTACTTTTCTTTCATATTATTAATTTCATGTTTCCTAAAGGCCCAAACAAAGACAATTGATTGATGTATTTATGTGTGAATGTTGAGGAGAGAGAGTAAAACCAGAGCATATTGACTTCTGTGATACATAAATTAGTCCTGATCCACTTCCTGTTTGTCTGCTCTGCTCACATCAGCACTTTAGACACACACATACACACACACACACATATATACAAACACACACAGATACACACACACACAGAGAGAAACACACACACTGTCAGAGAGCATCAGAGTCTGGTCTCATTGAGCTGACGCACACAGACGTCTGACCAGTGTAAGTCAACTTTCAGACCTTTGTGTTTCCAAAATCTGGACTTTCTCTGGACCCTGACGGTCCAAGACCTTTGGAGGCTGTGGCCGCACCGCACTTTGGGAAACACCCTCTCTGTAAAAGTGAAAGTTCAGACATTTTGAAAGAGAAAGTAAAGATCTATCTTCACTTCTCTGTCGTAAATATCAAAGATGGTCTCATTATTTCTCTTAATAGTAGTAATCTTTAGTAATCATTATTTACTGTAGATCACTGCAGATCTGAGTCTCAAAGCGGTTTACAATTGTTAATTTTTGGGCAATTGTCTCTCACTCCACACAGAGATGGGAGCGGGGTCGCCAGTGCAGGAGGCACATGCTAGAACTATTGGACATATTTTTAGTGGTAGGGGAAACCGGAGTACCCGGAGGAAACCTACATGCAAACTCCACTCAGAAGTGCCCTGGTCCGACCGGGATTCGAACCCAGGACCTTCTTGCTGAGAGGCGAGAGTGCTATCCACTCAGCCACCGTGCCGCCTGTATTTTAATGATCTGGGAAAATATTTAGATATTTTCTTTTTTATTATTATTTAACTTCTTATATTCGGTGCAGATTACACTTATTTACAAACACATTATAAATGTGACTATATTTACTACTGTTGTTCTTATGGTCCATGGCGTCCAGGTTTGTTAAATATTTCTTTCTGGACAGTTTCTTCTTTGGCTTTTGGAGGCAAATATGGCCAGAACCTGTCAGACCTCTGAAGCTTAGCAGGGTAGGGGCTGGTTAGTACTGGGATGGGAGACCTCTGGGGCCACAGTGGGGCGGCTGCGGCTGTAAAGTACCAAACTGTGGTTGTGTCCTTAGGCAAGACACTTCCCCCACATTAGAATGAGTCTGGTGTGTGTGTGAATGGTTGGTGGTGGTGGGAGGGGCCGATGGCACAGACTGGTTGCCTCTCTTCTGTCAGTGTGCCCCAGGGCAGCTGTGGCTACTGTAGTTTATCACCACCGTGTTTGGAGTGAATGAATAATGATGTGAAGAGACTTTGAGAAACACTGAATAAAGATGATACAGTATCATTATTATTAAAGGAGCAGTCTGTAAAAATGTGGCCAAAAGTGGTACTGCAGCCTCTCCCACTCTCCCTGACTCAGGTTGCCAGATATGCAGACGAATCCAGCTGGGACCATAACAGCTGAATAGACAAGAGTTTTGTCAACAACAAATCTATAACCAACACCTTTTTCACAAAGATAGAAATCCTGGTTTTATTCCTTGTTTTGTCGTTAATGATTTGAGAATCATAACGAGACCTTTTTTAGTTCTGCGCCACATGGTACTTTACCAGTGAGATTAGCTCCACGCGCCCGGAACTCCTCCCACGGAGCCAACTAGTTTTATTAGCGATCTGAGGCTAACATTAGCATTAGCGGAACTTCTTGTAAGCTGTACAACAATCACTGATGAAATGGTACAAAAGCAACGCACTGCTAACAAAATATATAACTGAAAGATTACCGCTAGTTTCACGTCCGAATGTGGTCCGAGCCTAGATAGTCCGAGCGTAGATAGTCCGAGCGTAGATAGTCCGAGCGCAGATAGTCCGAGCGTAGATAGTCCGAGCGTAGATAGTCCGAGCGTAGATAGTCCGAGCGTAGATAGTCCGAGTGTAGATAGTCCGAGCGTAGATAGTCCGAGCGTAGATAGTCCGAGTGTAGATAGTCCGAGCATAGATAGTCCGAGCGTAGATAGTCCGAGCGTAGATAGTCCGAGCGTAGATAGTCCGAGCGTAGATAGTCCGAGCGTAGATAGTCCGAGCGTAGATAGTCCGAGTGTAGATAGTCCGAGCATAGATAGTCCGAGTGTAGATAGTCCGAGCGTAGATAGTCCGAGCGTAGATAGTCCGAGTGTAGATAGTCCGAGCATAGATAGTCCGAGCGTAGATAGTCCGAGCGTAGATAGTCCGAGGCGGTCCCGCAGGTCTCTCCCACAGACAAGTCTCTCCAGAGGATACAATGTAAGCTAGCTGTGTTCAGGGCTTGGTTTCTTCTTTGATCATGTTGTGGCTTTAGTTCCCTCTTCTCTTCCTCACTGTTGTGTGGTTTGGGCTGTTTTGCTGTGTCTGCAGTTACAGCCAGAGGAGTTATAGCCACTTATGCTAACATGCTACTGTGTTTAGCAGCGCTGTAGAGGCTAGAGGACGCTCCTCGTTCTGTGATTGGAGGAGAGCGGGCGCCACGCTAAAGTCTCTACTCAGCACTTTTTACGTCTGAGTTCATACACAGCTGAATCAATGAGCTCAAGTTTTACATTAAATTATGAATTTTAATACAACTTGAATGTAGTAATACACATTTTTATGAATTCATTAGAAAAAAATGGGTATCGCTTCTATAATGAAGGTTTGAACTAAAAGTCATATTCCTACTTTAAGTAAGGCCACATCGATTCTTATGAAACAATATGTTGTATCATCATAAACAGTATCATGTGGTTGCGTGTCATTAAGAGTTGTGTATAACACAATATGTTGTATCATCATAAATAGTCCGTACTTTTGAGTGACAGTTGAAGTGATGCGGCCAAAGGTCGCAGCACTTGTTTGACCATCGCTCTCTCTCTGTGTGTGTCATGTGAGTCTGTCCTGCTCCGGTTTCACAGAGTAACCTCTCAGACACCAGCAGCAGCAGACACCAGCAGCAGCAGCAGAAACCAGCAGCAGCAGCAGTCACCAGCAGCAGACACCAGCAGCAGAAACCAGCAGCAGCAGCAGACACCAGCAGCAGAAACCAGCAGCAGCAGACACCAGCAGCAGCAGCAGCAGTAGGACCTCAGTTGTTATTGATGCAGGAAGAAAGTGCTGGATGTTTGATCGGTGAGAAAACTTCAGAAATCAAAATTCAGCTGCAATTCAACCCTCAACCCAACTTTTGTTACTACTACTACTACTACTACTACTACTACTACCACTACTACCACTACTACTACTATTACTATTACTATTACTATCACTACTACTACTCCATGCAGGCTTAGGCCAGTCTCTCAGCGTTGGACGGCACTGATGGGTCGTCTTCAAACAACAGAGACAAGTTATTTTTGAAGAAAATGGGAAACTCCTCAGCGAAAGAGGAGGAGGTGGAGCCAGAGGAGGAGAGAGACGGAGACGAGGAGATCCCAGAGAAGAAGAAGGAGGAGGAGGAGAAGGAGGTGGAGCTGCCATTAGGTGTGGAGGAGATGTTCGAGAGTGGAGATCCCGTGCTGGACATTAGCTACAAACGGTTCAAGCGCTTGCCTTCCCGCGTGTGCAGCCTCTCGCACCTGGAGAAGCTCTATCTGTGCGGGAACAGTTTACGGAATCTTCCAGACTCCATCTCGCAGCTCCAAGGCCTCCGCACTTTGGCTCTGGACTTCAACAAGATGGAGGACATTCCCGCTCCTGTGTGCGAGCTCGTGAACTTGACTCGACTTTATCTGGGAAGCAACCGACTCATGGACCTACCGGAGGAAGTGAAAAACCTCCAGAACCTTCGTTGCCTCTGGATCGAGAGCAATTACTTCCAGACGTTCCCAAAACAGCTTTACGATTTACCCAAACTGAAGTCTTTGCAGATCGGAGACAACCGGATGAAGACGTTGCCGTCAGATTTGTGGAAAATGGAGGCTTTGCGAGGACTTTGGATTTATGGGAATCGGTTTGAGACGTTCCCGAGAGTCCTGCTGAAGATGGAGAACTTGGAAATCCTGGACATGGACCGCAACAAGATCACCCACTTCCCGAGTCTGCGGCGGCTCCATGCCCTGCAGCTCTTCTCCTACGACCACAACCCAGTGGACGCTCCGCCGCCGGTGAAAGAGGAGGTGCTGGTGGTGGGAGAAGGAGCGGCCGAGTTCCTGGAGATCCGTGAGGCCAGGATCAAGCGGAGGAGGAAGGCCGCCGAGGAGGAGGCGGAGCTAGCACTGCAGGCCGAGGAGGAGCCCGTCATACAAGGCATCCTGAAAAACACCAACGCTAACAAGGGCGGGAACGAGTCTGGGAACGCTGAGGAGAATGAGGACGGACCGGAGCGAGACACGCAGGAGGAGGAGGACGAACAGCTGGTGGACTGCGAGGAGGAACCGCCGTTTGAGACGCAGTTTGGGGAGGACCTCATGGAGTTTGAGGGGGAGGGGCTGGAGTACGACACTGTGCAGATGGATTATGAATATGAAGAAGGAGCGGAGATGGAGGAGGTCGGGCGCCACGAGCAGAGGGCGTGAGGCTCCTCTCTCGGCTCCGGGTCGATCCAAGGTCTGGTCTTAAAGCTGAGGGACCTGACTTTAAACTCTCAGTGAAAGGAAAATGTAAGAAAACCCATTTACTGTAACAGGTTTGTCTCCATCAAAACAGCTTGGTTCTTTAGGTTCACATGTAAGGACAGAGAGACCAGAGAGAGAACAGAGAGAGAGACCAGAGAGACCAGAGAGACCAGAGAGAGACCAGAGAGAAAGACCAGAGAGACCAGAGAGAGACCAGAGAGAGACCAGAGAGAAAGACCAGAGAGACCAGAGAGAGACCAGAGAGAGACCAGAGAGAGAGACCAGAGAGACCAGAGATAGACCAGAGAGAGACCAGAGAGAAAGACCAGAGAGACCAGAGAGAGAACAGAGAGAGAGACCAGAGAGACCAGAGAGACCAGAGAGAGACCAGAGAGACCAGAGAGAGACCAGAGAGAGAGAGAGACCAGAGAGAGAGACCAGAGAGAGAGACCAGAGAGAGAGACCAGAGAGAGACCAGAGAGACCAGAGAGAGACCAGAGAGAAAGACCAGAGAGAGACCAGAGAGAGACCAGAAAGAGACCAGAAAGAGACCAGAAAGAGACCAGAGAGAGACCAGAGAGAGACCAGAGAGAGACCAGAGAGAGACCAGAAAGAGACCAGAAAGAGACCAGAAAGAGACCAGAAAGAGACCAGAGAGACCAGAGAGAGACCAGAGAGAGAACAGAGAGAGACCAGAAAGAGACCAGAAAGAGACCAGAGAGAGACCAGAGAGAGACCAGAGAGAGACCAGAAAGAGACCAGAAAGAGACCAGAGAGAGACCAGAAAGAGACTAGAAAGAGACCTTCGTAACGGTTCTGTCTCTGTAAAGTTTCTCTGACTATTTTTAATGAAACTATTGCTTCTGAAATGTGAGTATTCATGAACTTAACTTAACTCCCAGAGCCGCCATTTTGACTGCTCCGTTCATTGGACTGCAGTGGAAGCCCTGGTCCTGGACTGGTTACCATAGCAACACAGTGTTTGATCACGGTTAGCATTAGCCTTTTAAGGTGAAGAGATCCTTTACTGGTCCCACTTTGGGGAAATGTCAGAGTTGCATCACAAGTTACAGGACACACACAGCACAAGATACAGGGACAATGACTCTGTACTAGAATAAAATAAAATAAAATCTCTATATTTAGCAAAAAAAGGACAGAAGTCTTAAAATCTCCAACTTTAGCATAATAAAGAAGAAAAAATTGAGTAAGAAAACCTCGGACTTTAGCAGAATTATTTAAAGTTCTTTTTCACCAGTTTTAGAGATTATTAACAGTGAGTAATGGTATAAACAAACCATTTTTATTTTTAAGAATTTATTTGCGCGGGAGCCGTCAAAATGACTGCTGTGGGAATTACTGTAGTTTCAGAATTTTGTGAATCAACTGTTGGAGAATATTTTGGAAAAGAAATCTGTGCCCATTACTCATGATTTTGTTTTGGTTCCAAATCAATCAATAATCTATTTGCAATTCAAAGTGATTTTTATCTGAGCAAATAAAAACACAGATAAAAATGATAAATGGGGGCGACAGTGGCTCAGTTGGCAGAGCATTGGCCTTTGAGCCTGAATGTCGTGGGTTCGAGACCTTCTCCACCGACTCCCACTGATGACTGCTATCGTTGTGTCCTTGGGCAAGACACTTAACCCCACTTCTGCTGAAAGATCAAGGTTCCTGTGGACTCAGCACCTGCAGGAGGATCAGTGAGGGGCTGGTGCTCTGACTGCCACAATGAAGTATACAATCATTTCATGTTAAAAGTATGGGGTTTAAAACTCTTGTAAATGTATATTACTCCACCACATCCACTGCCTTGCTGGTCTCTCTCTGGTCTCTCTCTGGTCTCTCTCTCTCTGGTCTCTCTCTGGTCTCTCTCTGGTCTCTCTGGTCTATCTCTCTGGTCTCTCTGGTCTCTCTCTGGTCTCCCTCTGGTCTCCCTCTGGTCTCTCTCTGGTCTCTCTCTAGTCTCTCTCTCTGGTCTTTCTCTGGTCTCTCTCAGGTCTCTCTCTGGTCTTTCTCTGGTCTCTCTGGTCTATCTCTCTGGTCTCTCTGGTCTCCCTCTGGTCTCTCTCTGGTCTCTCTCTAGTCTCTCTCTCTGGTCTTTCTCTGGTCTCTCTCAGGTCTCTCTCTGGTCTTTCTCCGGTCTCTCTCAGGTCTCTCTCTGGTCTTTCTCTGGTCTCTCTCAGGTCTCTCTCTGGTCTTTCTCCGGTCTCTCTCAGGTCTCTCTCTGGTCTTTCTCTGCTCTCTCTCAGGTCTCTCTCTGGTCTTTCTCTGGTCTTTCTCTGGTCTCTCTCTAGTCTCTCTCTGGTCTTTCTCTGGTCTTTCTCTGGTCTTTCTCTGGTCTCTCTCTAGTCTCTCTCTCTGGTCTCTCTCTGGTCTCTCTAACAGCAGTAACAATAGTAACAATAGTTTCTCGGCTCCAGAAGCCGTAAACCAGTCTCATTCTCCTTGTGTGTAAATAGACACCTTCACACGGATCCTCTTTCTCACGTCTCAATGGATCACTCTAATATTTATACCACAATTAAACATTTACCATGTGATGCGTTCATGGTCCCACTGGAAGCTGACACTGATGAGATGATTTATAGATTATTAAGACTTTTTATAAAATCCTTTTAAACCCGGTTCCATCAAAGTAAGTAAGTCGTCTTTGTCTCTCACTCCACACAGAGAGATGAGAGAGACCAAGACCTTTTAGTAGTGGTAGGGGAAACCGTAGCACCTGGAGGAAACCTACACAGACACCGGGAGGACGTGCAAACTCCACACAGAAAGGCCTGGAGGTGGAATCGAACCCATGACCTTATTGCCGTGCCCCCAAAGCGCTCGGTTTCCTTGATTCTCAGTACAATTTGAAAGAGAAGTTATTATTCTAATGTTCATCTAGACCAAACCTGGGCAGAGTGCGGCCCGAGTGCCACATGCGGCCGGATTCTAGTTTCCAAGAGGCCCTCGGACACTTCTCCACATGCAGACTTCTTACTGTCTCCTTCTGTTGAAATGAATGGGAATCAAAACCTATGAAGGTTTGCTAACTTCATGTAGTAACATACCTCATAATGATTCATCAAAAACATTTTTCCGTCCACAATACTTTCTTTAATTCTTTAACTTTAGATGACGTTGAATATCGTCAGGTTTCCCTCTCCTTCATTCATATGACGAATATCCACAAAATGCTGCACATCAGACAAAGGAATATGCACTCAGGAATCATAGAGATGACCAGCTTACAAAACCAGACAATTATTGACTCCAAGAATAAACAAATGCTCTCTCCCACTCTCGACGAGGGCAAAAGTCCAACACAATCAGGCGCCCAGTGGTGGGGGGCATTGTTTGCTCAGGTGGAGATGGAAGACCGGGTCCAGACCAGGACCAGGGGCCAGACCAGTCCCAGATCTGTGACGTCATCGGACCCTTTGATAGAAACTGCTGGGAGGAGATTGGCAGTCAGTCAGACGAGGGCAAGAGAGGGACATGGATTAGCTTTTAAGAGCTCTCTTTTGTTGAATATTCTGTATCTGATTGTAAAGATAATTAAATGCAGATGTTAAACTTGGAGAATCTTTTTGTCTGATTTCTGTATCAAATTGTGGACACGTCAGCCAAAGGGAATTATTGGCTACATTTGGTGACCGAGACGTGATTTGATACAGAAAGAAGACGGAGATGAGCTCAGTTATAGAGACTGGATTTGTGGGTTTGGAAAAATCTCTCTGCTCTTCAAAAAGGTCGCTTCTAAGGTAAGCGGATCACAGTTTTGAAAATCTGCACATTGTTTTAAATAGAAGAGAGAGAGATTTTGGCTCGACAGATTGCAGCGTGGCCAGACGACCGCCGTGACGGGGCGTTCTATCGGACGCGATAGAACAATAGTCAGGTTTAGACGTTTTTAGCCTTGGGGGAAGCATTGGTCCCTCCTTAAAAAAACAGAACATAGATGTTGAAAAGAGAGCCACAGGATTTATAAGTGCGAAAGAGGCACACCGTTTTAAGGTGCAAAAGAGGCACAAGTGTTTAGATAAATAGGATTAGAGAAATAGGGACAGTTAGGGTCAGAAGTGATAGGATAATAAAACCTTCTATATCCCCCGGGGGCGGAAAAAAGGGTACAATTCATTTAAACAGAAGAAAAGCCAAGTATTTAAAATGTGGATTCTGATAATAATGATCTGATTAATGAGGAAAAAGAGAGCCTCTTGGCTGTAGTATACGAGTTTCATGTGAAGAAATGATCAGTTATGGAAGTTTTTCTCTTATTCTGATGTAATGTTTAATAGTTACAGAGAATCAAAAAAAAAAAAAGAGATTCTGCTGGGACTGTTAGACATGTAAGCAAATAGTAATGTTTTCCATTACTGACGTATTTAAGGATAAAATGTAAAGTGTCGTTTGACGTGAGAAAAACTTTTACCACTGATTAAAACCATATCACGATAAAAACTAGGAAAATGTGGCAAAAGGGGGTGTATTTCAATCATCCATGTGTTCCTTTGTTCGAGAAGCCACTCAGCCCCTCCCCTCCCTCTCTCTCTCTCTCTCTCTCTCTCTCTCTCTCTCTCTCTCTCTCTCTCTCTCTCTCTCTCGTGAAGACAGAACTATTACCAAAGACATTTTTGATTTGTAGAAAATTACATTTATACACACGATAATGTTACTAACATGGAGTCATAGGATCACAGAACTTTGAGTTAGATTATAAAGAGGCATTTTTTTTTTATTTTTTATCTCCAAGGCGTCTAGACAAGTTTTTTTCCCCTACATTTTGGTGATATAAAAGTTAGAATGATCTTAGAGAGCATTATACTTTTGGAAAAAGTAGGGCTTAGGATACCAGTTGAATGCAGATTTGGTTTTCAGAATTTAATGTTTAAAATGTTAATATTAATTATTTCATAGGTTTATTTTGAATTGTAATTAATCATTGGTTTCGTATGGTAATTAACACACTT